TCAAACAAGTATCTTGAGTTGGGGGCTCTCAGCTATTGGAGTTCACTCCTGTTAAGCAGCAACTTCTGTGTGCTTGGCACTGATCTAGACATTTCATTATTTAAGATTTTAGATTTTATTTCTTTTTATTGGAAAGTCAGATATACCGAGAGAAGAGACAGGGAGGAAGATCTTCTGTCCGATGATTCACTCTCCAAGTGGCCGCAATGGCAAGAGCTGAGCTGATCTGGAGCTAGGAGTCAAAGCCAGGATCCTCTTTTGGGTCTCCCATGCAGGTGCAGGGTCCCGAGGCCTTGGGCTGTCCTAGATTGCTTTCCCAGGCCACAAGCAGGGAGCTAGATGTGAAGTGGGGCTGCCAGGATTAGAACTGGTGGCCACATGACAGCCCCAAACGTACAAGGAAAGGACAATTTCCACCAGACTACCATCCTGCACCCTTTATTTTTATTTATTTTAAGATTTTATTTTTATTGGAAAGGCAGATTTAGTGAGAGAGGGAGAAAAAAAAACTTCCCTCCTCTGGTTCACTCCACAAATGGCCAGAGCTGAGCTGATCCACATCCAGGAGCCAGGAGCTTCCTCTGGATCTCCGACACAGGTGCAAGACTTTGGGGTTATCCTCCACTGCTTTCCTAGGCCACGGACAGGAATTTGGATGGGAAGTGGAGCAGCCAGGACATGCTGGCACTTGAAGATGCAGGATTAGTTAATTGAGTCATTGTGCTGAGCCATGAGCAAGACATTTTCAAGAGGGAAGGAAGGGTATGCAAGACCCAGGTCCTGCCTGTTTAAGCTCTAAAGTGGGGAACAATACACGTGATAGGGCTAGAGGGAAGGTCATTTTCATACCTCAGCAGTATCATCTCTCACCCCCATCCCCCTTCTCCACCAGTTGGCCTCCTACTGCAAACTGCAGTGGGGAAAAGGCAAGTAAGGTGAGGGAGTAAGGGTATGATGGACAGATGTTGAAACAGTAATGATTTGTTGAACCTGGAAGAAGTCCACTGTGGGCCCAGGGGTCTAGTGCTCCATTCTTATTTGCTTGGAGCCCCGTTTCCTGTCTCTGATTCCCTTTGGCCGAGCAATGGCATATTCAAGGTTTTCTGCCCCCACTTAGCCTCTCAGGAACTGTAGCCAGGAAGCTCAGGAGTGAGGCTCAGCTCTGACAAATTCTTCCCTCAATGTTCCTGCCCCTTGTCAAATCCTGACCAGCCTGCACTTACTCTGGACATGCATGTAACAGTGGATACAATTGCTTAGCTCAGCCTGGCTCTCCCCCTAAAACAGCTCACATGCAGGCCAACAGGTGTTGTAGCCCCACCCAGCCAGGTCTGCCCTTGGTCCCAGTTCTCACACTTGCTAGTGAGAGCAGTAGTCCAGCAGAAGAGTCCCCGCAGCCTCCCTTGCTGCAGCCCAGTCTGCCATGGCCCACCTCACCTCAGCATTTGCCAGCAGGCACTGTAGTCTGGCCTGGTCTGATCTGTCCCCAGTTCCAGATCTTGCTAGTGGGTGCTTGAGCCCAGCCCTGCCCAGCCAGCCCCCAGTACTGGCCCTAATGTGAACTGGCTGGTGTTACAGTCCAACCTGGCCTGTCCTACCCTCATCCTGGTTCTCAGATCTGCCAGTGAATGTTTTAAATAGGCCCAACCTGGCCCACCCCAGGACCTGACTTGCACGTGTGCCAGCTGGTACTGTAACTAGCCTGATCTGGGTTGCTCCCAGACTTGGTTTTTGTTCTCATCCCCAGGGATAGCAACCTGACAGAGTTCTCCAAATTCCTATAATTAGGTCACCTCTCAGTGACAGACCTTGCGCATCCTCTGGGTCCTTGGCCCAGCTGGACTTGGATCATGTTCTGTCCTGGCAGGAACAAGTTTTGCCTGACCAGCCCACACCCATTCTGGTTCTTACTCTTGGGTGCTATAGCCCAGTCAAGCCTGGTCCACCCCAGACCCAGCTCTTGCATGGTTTAGCAGGTGCTGAGACCTGTTCTACTCCTGGCTCTCGCAAGCACCAGCTGGTGCTAGAGTCAAGTTCAGCCTGGTACAACACACCCTGGACCCAGTGCATACCCATGCTGAGGGATACTGCAGTTATGCCCAGCCTAGGGCACCAGCCCCATTCTGGCTCTCACGCTCACCAGTGGGAACCACTACCCAGCTGGGGCATCCCCTTAGCTCCCAGACCAGGTCAGCTCCAAGCCACAGGTTTTATGCATACGCAGTGGGTGTTCTGATCCAGCCTGGCATAGAATTGGGCCTTTCTTGGTGACTCTAGCCAAGATCATGATGTGTGGACCTAAGCTGTCATGTAGAATTGAGGAGGGTTCATTGATTGGCAGGTAAGTAAAAGTGGGGAAGGTACCCATTGCAAGTGGCTAGATGCTGGGAAGGAGACAATCACAATTTCAGGCTTACGCTGTCTCTCCTTGTAGCCTTATAATGCTATCAAGGTTAGATGGCGCCACAATGCTTCCTACCAACATGTGCAAGCAGTGACGGCCATATGTCTACATTCACATTCATTCTCTAAGTAGTTACAGAATCTATCAGCCGGGCACAGAGTATGGGAAGGGGCATTTTTGTAGTTTTCTGGGAAATGCTTTCAGGAGTTCATCTTGTTGGGTGTCCTCAAATCACGCACTGTACATAGATTACCTTCTGCTGTTTATCGTAGGTCATTATCACAGAGCGGATCAGAGTTGGAGCAACCAGGACACAAACTGGCATCGTGTGGTTTGGCAGCATCGCAGACGGCAGCTTTACTCACTAGGCCACAATGCTGACCCCAAATTTTGTTTTAAACAAAGGGTCAACCAGCAGATATTCTAGGCTTTAAGGCTATATAATCTCCCTCATAATAGTTATTCAACTTGGCTATATAACTTTCTGAATGTAGACACAGACAAGAGTAAATAAATGGGTATGATTGTGTTTCATTTTAATTCTATTTACAAAACAATGTAAGTGGGTCAAATTTGGCCCATGAACCCTGGTTTTCAGACTCTTGGTCTCCTGTCTTTAAGTCTGGGGAGGTCAGAAAGGCCTGAGGCCATGGAGATGGCCTGCTTGGGACCAAAGGCTCCTTTGTGGATGGTGAGAATCAAAGGAGGAAAAATCTATTCCAGGCAGTTCTGAACCCCGCTCACAGGCCTACCCAGAGTGCTGGGCAGGTGTTCTAATTCAGAAACACTGCTCTGTATCCTTGCATAGCCACATTTCCTTGGTGTGGCGAGGCTGTGTGTGACAGAGAAGTAAGCCTTTTGGAGGAGGTATTAGCAAGCAAGAATTAACAAGAAAAAAGTACTCAGCTATGTTTTGCTATCATTGTTTCTTTTTTTTTTTCCCCCCAATCCAGGCTTGCTAGAACTGTGTTCCTCTGGGAGAAGTCTTGAGGAAGACCAACCAATTCCTGTGATTCTAAAATCATGGCCCTTGTAAGTTGCTATTGCTTGTTCCTTCTGGACATTTTTTAAAATCATGATTTTTCATTCTTTATCATAAAATTTCCAAAATTTTTTTAACTTAATCTCCACCCCTGCCAGGCTCTACTTCTGTTTTCCTCTTTCGCCTAACCAGTACCCACCAAACACCCACCAAATCATTCAGCATTTCCTGTGTACTTAGCAGAAACAGAAGAGAAATCAGGTCCCTACAGGAAGGGAGGTTTCTGAATATCCCCTGTCAGATATGATGTGTGGATGGAACAAAGTATGGATGGACTTGACTTCAGATGGGAAAAACCTGGGCTTTCCCACAGACCTGTGCCTGCGGATAAGCTGCAGCCCAGTTAACTGAGTATGGTCTCAGTGTGTGGTTGGAGCTTGCTTTTAACAGACAAGGAGGGGTCTAGCGCAGTAGCCTAGCTGCTAAAGTCCTTGTCTTGCATGAGCTGGGATCCCAGATGGGCACTGGTTCTAATCCCAGCAGCTCTGCTTCCCATCCAGCTCCCTGCTTATGGCCTGGGAAAGCAGTCGAGGACAGCCCAAAGGTGCAGGGTCCTGTATGGGTGCAGAGTTCTAAGGCTTTCGTCCATTCTCAACTGCTTTCCCAGGCCACAAGCAAGGAGCTGGGTGGGATGTGGAACAGCTGGGATATGAACCAGCGCCCTTATGGGATCCTGGCGCATGCAAGGTGGCCTCCATGATTTTTTTAAAAGTTATTTTATTTGGAAAGTCAGAGTTACACAGAGAGAGAACCAGAGAAAGAGATCTTCTATTTGCTGGTTCACTCCTCAAATGGCTGCGACAGCCAGCACCTGGGCCTTCCGCTGTTTCCTCAGGCACATTAGCAGAGAGCTAGATGGGAAGTAGAACAGCTGGGACTCAAACCTGTGCCCACATGGAACATGAGTATTGCAGCTAACAGATTAATCCACTAAGCCACAGCACCAGCCCCCATGATTTATGTTTTAAACATACTTTAAAAATCATTGCATTGTGATGCAGTAGTTTAAGCTGCTGCTTGAGACACTTGGTAATGTATCAGAATGTTACATGAAGTTTGGAATTTCACTTCCTGCTCATGTGTATGGGGAAATCAGTGGAAGATAGCCCAAGTAAATAGTTCCCTGTGACCCGTATAGGGGACCATAATGGAGTTCCTGGCTTAGGCCTGACCGGTGTCTGCTGTGGCAGTCACCTGGAGGCGTGAACAGATAGAAGAGAGAAGATTTCTGCCTCTCCAGTTCTCTGTCACTCTGCCTTCCAAATGAATAACTCCTTTCGAAAAGTTACCTAAGGAAAATGAAAGATACAGGGCTCCTCTTTTTCCTTTAGTTAATATCTTATTAATTTTTATTATTTCATCTATAAATTTGTTTATTATTAATTATTTCTTTAAAATTTTGAAGCAGGAGCGAATCAGCTTATTTGCTTATACCCACTACTTCAATTAATTGTAAAACGTAATTGTTTGTTCCTAAAAATTTTGGCTAATCACGTATTCCCATTTTTAGGGAATCTTGCATGCACCAACTTGATTCTTCAAGAAAATAAGGTAATGGGGCTGCAAGTTTGGTGTAGCACATTCAGCCACCACCTGCAATGCGTCGTATTGCATGTAGGTTCCAGTCTGAACACTGGCTGTTCTTCCGATGCAGCTCCCTAATGCACCCGGGAGAGCATCAGAAGATGGCCCACACCCTTGGGCCCCTTCCGCCACATGGGAGACCCATGTCTGACTTTGACCTATCTCAAGCCTGATCACTGCAGCTATCTGGGGAGTGACCCGGTGGATGAAAGATTCTCTCCCTCTCGTCTCTCTTTTCTACAACTCGTTCTTTCAAATAAACAAATAAATCTTACTCTCTGCCCTTCTTAAATTGTTGTTTTGTGGTTTCACCCATGACGTGTTATTCTACATCTTCAGGCAGTGGTGATGTTCCAAGATGTGGCTATTGAATTCTCTCAGAAGGAATGGGAGTGCCTGGACCCTGCTCAGAGGAGCCTGTACAGAGACGTGATGTTGGAGAACTATAGAAACCTTGTCTCCGTGGGTGAGGTCTTCCACGTCAAATATGCGAGCTCCTCTCTGCAATGACAGATTTCATGTCTTTGAATTCAGGATATTTTCCTACAAAACAAGCTGAACTCTTTCTCTGTTTCTTATGGGATGAGTTAACTTTGTTGGTTTGTAAATGACACTCAGACTAAATATTTTTTGTTTTCATCATACTTCAGCGATCCTCATGAAACATTTCTCTATTTGCTCCTAAAATTGCCCCTTCCTTAGTGACTTCAAGACTGGGTTTGAATGCTGAGATACTGATTGCAGAGCCAAGGTCAAGCAAACCAGGTTTCACATCATATCTGAGTTGAGAACTGTTACGGATGTTCTGTTCTTGCTGTCCTAGATACAGGAGAACAGCCCTCCCCCCCCCTCCTCCCCGCCACCTCTGCTATTGGCCCACGCTGGATCTATAGTTTTTGTGTCATTCAGGGGTGCAGAATGTCTGGCCCACAGGTTACACAAAGCTTACAAAATTACCCCTGTCACAGCAACCACAGGCAAGACTCGAAAGTCAATCAATCTACAGCAGGCTAATCTTTAAGTTGGTAACATTGCATGTCCTGAGAATGATGTTCTAACTATCCAAATAACTCCTGGCAGGAAAAAAGGCCCCCTCCCCATCCCTAGTAGATGAACAAAATATATTTTAGATAAAAATATTCTGTTTCCTACAACAAACATTTTTTAACTTGCTTTTGATTAAAAGTTAAAATTCATTAGCTTAGCATTTAGCTCTAAGAGAATATAGCAGGAACCCATGACTCAGAAAGCTTTTTGTATTATTTTTTCAATATCAGAAAAAAGAAAACAGTTCATTAAAACCTTACGATTGTGAGGTAGTATTCTCAGCATTAGTTATGAGACTTTTATTCTCATTTCACAGATGAGGAAACTGAGGCCCAGTGAATTTGCTATAATGAGTAGGTGGCTCAAGCAGGATTTGAACCCCCAGATTTCTGGCTCCAGAGTTTATACTCTTCATCACTGCCACCTCTTACTAGAGTGCGCCTATATGTGTTTTAATTCTAAAAAGATCTCTCTGGCTCATCAAGTTTTATGATTTCTGGGATTCTTAGATCACCCTAAGTCAAATATTACCTTCATGCTATCCATTTTCTCAGAAGTATGTATCAACATCATGTTAATTCAGATTTTATTACTAAATTTAACCAAGCTTCCGAGTGTTTTGGAATTTGCGTGTTTTACTTCTACATCTTTTATTTCCTTCCTGAAAGCAGGGTATGCTGTCTCGAAGCCAGATGTGATTACCTTGTTGGAGCAAGGGAAAGAGCCTCGTATGGTGGGAAGGGATGTGACAGGAGGAAAGTACCCAGGTGAGTGAAGCCTCCTCAGGCAGCTGGAAGTTATCACTGTCACTAAAACCCGGCTGGTCTGCGAGGAAGCCCTGCAAGGTCCCCTTCAGGGGCTTCAGGCCCACAGGCCAAAGCTGGGAAGGAAACAAGCTTTCCTGATGTAAGTTACCAAAAGGATGTCAGCTCAGGTCCCAGCTACCTCTGTCCTTGTTCTTCTCTCCCCTTCCCCTCCTCTTCATTTCTTATCTCAATAGGCTATCTTCTTTTTCTCAATGCAATCATTTGCCTTCCACCTTACTTCATTCATGTTTTCATGTACTCGTTTCCAATGCTTAAAAGTTCATTCTTTCACCTATTCAGCATATATTTACTGAGGGCCCATTCTGAGCCAGGCCAGGCACAGTTTTAAATATTATTGATACATGGATGATGAAGCCCAAACCTGAGGCTGGCTTTGCAGTTCTGTGAGAGATGCAGGGAAGTGTAAATAAGGGAGCAGATAATATAACATTAAATAATGATGCTTGCTATGAAGGCAGGACAGGCAAAGGGGAGAGAGGTCGGGTAGCATTAATTTGGGTGGGGTACTCAAGGAAAGCTTTTCTAAGGAGGTGCTGCCAATGCAGAGACATGAAATAGGAACTTAGTCCACATGAGCATCCGGGGGAAAGGCTGTGCTGTGTGAAGGCAGGAAGGGCCTCGTGTACTTGAGGGACAGCAAGAAATTCAAAGCAACTGGATAAATCTGTCAGTGCTGATCCAAGCCTCTGCCTGTTTTGGTAAGTAAAGTTTTGCTGAAACATAGCCACCTGTGTTTATTTATACATATTTTGTTTGGTAGAATAGCTCAACTGAAACAGAAAAAACAAACAAACAAAAAACAGGACCCACCAAGCCTCTGATCTTGACTCTCTGGCCCTTTACAGAGAGTCCTCCCCTAGGGAATGAATAAATACATGCTGTTAGAACGAAGAGGGCCAGATAAGCCTGGGGCACTCTATCTCCAGAGTGGAAAAAGAGTTACTCTGTTTCTAAACAGAGAAGGAAGAGGTGGCAGTAAGTAGATTGAGAACAAGTAATCCAGGGGGCACAAGACAAATGAAGAAAGGTTTCAGCCAGGAGGAAGTGTCCACTGAGAATTGTCCACAGGACAGCAGAAGGAAGTTGGCTGTGACTTTGTGTAAGAGATCAAGGCGTCCATGGACTCTGGGGGTGGAAGCTTACTAGGTATGTCTCAAAAGAGAGTTGGAGGCAAAGCAGCGCTGATGTTCTGAAGTAGAGCATGTCTTTATGGGGATTTTGTTAGGAAGAGAACTAGTGATGAGGTTAATAGCTATGAAGTGATACAGGATAAAACAGTGTGTTTCAAGATAGGAGATTTTCGGGCCTGGCATGGTAGCCTAGGGGCTAAAGTCTTTGCCTTGAATGTGCTGGGATTCCATGTGGGCGCCAGTTCTAATCCCAGCAGCTCCACTTCTGCCCAGCTCCCTGCTGGTGGCCTGGGAAAGCAGTCAAGGACAGCCCAAAGCCTTGGGACCCTGCCCCCGCGTGGGAGACCCAGAAGAAGCTTCTGGCTCCTGGCTTCGGATCAGCTCAGCTCTGGCTGTTGCAACCACTTACAGAATGAACCAGCAGATGAACAATCTTTCTCTCTGTCCTCCTTTCTGTAAACCTAGCTTTCCAGTAAAAATAAATAAATCTTTAAAAAAGAAGAAAATATGCAGAAGGGCAGAAAATTAATGGCCATGCATTTGAAAATTGTAAAATGAAAGAAACTGACACTGGAATAGAAATAAAGGCTGTAAGACTGACTTACAGTCAGTAGGGCAGCCCATTCTGTGAAAGAAATTTATAACCTGAGATTGAAGGATGAAAAGGAGTCAGCTTTTCACAGAGTCATTTTTAAGAGACTTAACAGCATATTTAGATCTGTGTGGTATTGGAAAGGTCATAGCACAAGCCAGATCTAAATAGAAACCCCTGTTGTGGGAAATCAGATGCTCAGTGCCTATGAAAGAGGTTAAGAAACCAAAGACCATATTACAATCTATGGTGACATGTTTGTATTTTAGTCTAAGAATAAAGAAAAACTACTGAAATTATCAATTGGAGAGTCTCAAGCTTTTCAGAAGAATCTAATGGAATTAAAAAGTAAAGATACTCAGTTCCTTCTCGTTTGATCTGGAATGTTATCAAAATAGCAGTATTTCTATTTTTTAATTTTTTTTAAAGATTTATTTTTATTATTTTTTTATTGGAAAGGCGGATGTACAGAGAGGAGAGACAGAGAGGAAGATCTTCCGTCCAATGATTCACTCCCCAAGTGAGTGCAACGGGCCGATACCGATCCGAAGCCAGGAGCCTCTTCCGGGTCTCCCACGCGGGTGCAGGTTCCCAAAGCTTTGGGCTGTCCTCGACTGCTTTCCTGGGCCACAGGAAGGGAGCTGGAAGGGAAGCAGGGCTGCCGGGATTAGAACCGGCGCCCATATGGGATCCCGGGCATGCAAGGCGAGGACCTTTAACCACTTGCGCCACCTCGCCGGGGCCCAAAATAGCAGTATTTCTAATGAATTCCCCACAGGATTCTTATCCACACCAACATTTCTGAACCACTAGATGTAAACTATTTCCCATACCATCCTAATCTTATCTTGTACTCTCTAAGCTCATACTGCCTTGAGTTCAAATTTTAAGACTATATTGTGAAGTTCCTCAAACCTTTTACTTCTAATAAAAATTGTTCTTGTCCCTTATTTTGAAGATGAATGTTTTAGGTTTGAATGGCTGTGGGGAAATGATTTTTGTGTACTTGTTTTTCTTTCAGGTTTGTTCTCCAAGAGTAAGAACAAGACGTTATCTCCAGAAAAGCATAGTCATGAAATCAGTTCATCTAATTTGGAGAAAGTAAAAAGAAATACAACTTCTGACCTTGAAGGATCCATTGTCAGAAATGATCAGGAAAGCAAAAGTGAGACTGAAGGTCAACAGGAACCTCAAGAAGGACATTTCAGTCAAAAGAAAATTATGAATCAAAGAAGGCCATCGACTCAAAACCATACATCTCATCCTCCCAAGCAGAAAATCCATGATAGCGAGAATCCTCAATACAGGGAAAGTGGGAAGCCCGTTAGTTGTGACTCCAATTTAGTTCGACACGAGAAAATTCATTCTAATGAGAAACATGTTTGTAAAGAATGTGGGAATACTTTTAGTAGTGGCTATCAACTTACTCTACATCAAAAAATTCATACTGGTGAAAGGCCCTATAAATGTAAGGAATGTGGGAAGGGCTTTAGGCAAAGCTATCAACTTACTCTGCATCAGAGATGTCACACTGGGGAGAAACCCTATAAATGTCAAGAATGTGGGAAGGCCTTTATCATCAACTCACAACTTACTAGACATAAGAGAATTCATACTGGCAAAAAACCTTGTAAGTGTAAGGTATGTGATAAGGGCTTTTTTAGTCATTTAGAGCTTACTCAGCACGAGAGGATTCACACTGGTGAGAAACCTTATAAATGTAAAGAATGTGGGAAAGCTTTTCGACTTAATTTCTACCTCACAGTACATGAGAAAATTCACACAGTTGAGAAAACCTATAAATGTAAGGACTGTGGGAGAACCTTTGGTGCCTGTGCAAAGCTTATCCGACATCAGAAAATTCATACTGGTGCAAAACTATATGAATGTAAGAATGTGGGAAGGTCTTTAGACTTGGTTTTTACCTTGCTGAACACAGAAGGACACATACAGGTAAGAAATCTTACGAATGTAAGGACTGTGGGAAAACCTTTAATGTGCATGGGCAGCTTAATCGGCATAAAACGATTCACAGTGGTGTAAAACACTTTGAATGTGAAGTGTGTGGGAAAGCTTTTAATTTTAGTGGTGACCTGAGAGTACATCAGAGAATTCATACTGGTGAGAAACCGTATGAATGTGAAGAATGTGGGAGAGCCTTTACTTCGTTCAGCCCTTATTGAACACGAGAGAATTCGTACTGGAGTAAAGCCCTATGAATGTAAGGAATGTGGGAAGACCTTTAGGGGGCGCTCTCAAGTGAGTCTGCACAAGAAATTTCACACTGATGTAAAACCCTACAAATGTACAGGATGCAGGAAGACCTTTAGATTTGGGTTTTACCTTAGTGAGCGCCAGAGAATTCACACAGGTGAAAAGCCCTATGAATGTAAAGAATGTGGGAAGGCTTTTATTCGTAGAGGTAATCTTAAGGAGCACGTAAAAACTCATTCAGGTCTAAAACCCTATGAGTGTAAAGAATGTGGGAAGACCTTTAGTTGGCGTGGACAGTTTACACAACATCAGAAAATTCATACAGGTGTAAAGCCGTACAAATGTAAGGAATGTGGGAAGGCCTTTAGTCGTAGTGGAGACCTTAGAATACATCAAAGAATTCACACGGGTGAAAAGCCCTATAAGTGTAAAGAGTGTGGAAAGGCCTTTAGGCTTAATTCACACCTCAATGAACATCAGAGAATTCACACTGGTGAGAGACCATATAAGTGTAAAGTATGTGATAAAGCCTTTAGACAACATTCACACCTTTATCAACATCAGAAAATTCATAATGTAACCTAAGAAACCATGCTTATTATTCTACATCCAAAAGTTCACGGGAAATGACATTAGAGATAAATTAATTTTTGTGCAAAAGTTGAAATCCATGCATGGTCTTCATTATACGAATTTTCCACGGATGGTTAAAGACTTAACATTTATAGAATATAAAAATACAATATAGAATAATCATGCTAGATAATAATTCTGCCAATGTGTCAACCTTTCTTTAAGACAAATTGACAATAAATGGGTAAGAGGTTTTCAATACCTCCGGTTCTTGATAAATTTTAGGAAATTCATACTAAAAACAAAAATTAATGTAAAGTTATGGGAAATTTTTTGCAGCAACATGTACTTATCACTGCCTTTGTGCTTCTCTTATTTCCTGTGTGATGTGAGTGAAAACATTTACCTCTTGATGCCTAAACTGTGAAATGATATCCTACTAAAAGTGTGGTTAATGGTTTATAACATGCATTTTTCTGTAAAAAGTGTCTTTTATTGCAAATATTTTGAATTAACATTAGATAGTTTTACTTTTATCATCAATATTACTGTTAGTGAATCTTTTAAATGCACTGAAAAAAGCTGCATTATAGTTCACGAAATTTGTCTTTGATAAAATGAATGTTGGGAGTTGAATGTTCAGAAATTTTGTGTTGAAGTCCTAATCCTGCTATTTGGAGGTGGGAGCCTTTGGGAAACAATTGAGTCATGAGGGTGGAACCCTCACGAATGAGGTCAATTCCCTTATACGAGCAACCCAAAAAAAGCTCTCCAGCGCTCCAGCTCTGTCTCTAGCTCTGTTTGAGCTATGTGAGGACACAGTGGGAAAGCAACAGTGTAAAAAGAGGAAAGTCCTCACCGGAACCCAAGTAGACCAGCACCCTAATCTTGGTTCCAGAACAGGGAGAAGCACATTTCTGTTGTTGATACATCACTGAATTCCTGACGGTTTGCATATCGGTCCAAACTAAGATGGCCCATTTCAATACAGAACATGCAGAGATCTGAATTCAGACCTTATTGCTTCAGTTCAATCAGAGATCTAAAACTGCGAAGAAACTTTAAGAATGTAGCAAATAGGAAGATGTTAAGAATAAATAATAAAGCTGCTGGCACAGCAGTTGGTGCAGCAGTGAGAACATGGCCTGGGATTTCTTTATCCCAGAGAGCCTGCGTATGAATGCTGACTCTGCTGTTAATTCCAGCTTCCTGCTGATACACCCCCAGGAGCAGCCCTTGGATCCCTGCAGGCGTCTTCAGGGTAGGCCCAGATTGAACTCTCAGCTCCTGGCTGTTGCCTGGCTCAGGCCTGGCTATTCCAAGCATTTGGGGAGTGAACTAGTAGATAAGAAATCTTTGTCTCCCTGCCTTTCAAATAAACAAACACTGAATTAAAAAAAAATATTATACCATCTGAACTACCAGATAGAGGTATGAGGAATGTATGTATAATACTATAGAAATTAAAAGGATTCAACACAAAGCTATCTACCTTGTCATTTTTTTTAAAAAACAAATTTGTTCTGAAAGTTTTCTGACAGAGAAACAGAATGCAATCTATACTGACACTCATTTTACTTTCCACCTTGATTTGAGCATTTAATTTTCACATTTGTTTTGTTTTTAAATAAAGTATGTTATTTTTGCTGTACCATGTGTGAGCTCATTATAAAATATATCACTTCATTCTTAAATAAATCAGTTTGTATCTCCTTAAGTATTACGTGTAAGTGAACTACTACAATCATACCTTAAAATTAATAATTTAATGGAATCTTACAACACCTGGTTCAAACTGAAACTTCTCTAATTGCTGTAAGAATATATTTCATAGATACTCTATTAGGGGTCACTTTCCAGGTTTGTGCATTGTTACATTTGGTCTGTCACTTTAAATGATACCATCATTTTGTGATACTGGTTTTTTGAACAGTCCATCATGGTTGTCTTTAGATGCCTTGAATTTTTTTATGTGTCTAATTCATTTCCTCATAGTGTTCATTTTGTTCCTCTGTCTTCAAGATGGATCTTAGTGGAAACTTGATTTCATATTGGTTAAACATTTTTAGCAAAGCCAAGTCATAGGTATAATACAGTTTAAACAGAGAAGGCATACAATGCCAAGTTTTCCCATTATAATTGATACTAAATCTGATCACTCATTAAGTTGGCAATTTCCAAACCTTTCCACTGTAAAGGTGCATTACTTTCTTAATTTTAAGTTAAGTAATTGGTGATAATTTGAATCTTCTCTTAGAAATTTATACTTGCATGTATCAGATAGGCATGGATTAAACTGATAATCACAATTTAAACAATTGTTTAAGCGCGATGAAATGTGGGATGTGATCAATGCTCTAGTCTCTGGGATATTAATATTGCTTAATGCACATAGAAAACCACAATTGAAGTAGGGAATATTTTGTTTTCTCTGTCCTTAGCACCTGCTGGATTACCTTTCACTTAATAAGCATTTGATAAAACTTAGGGAAAATAAAGTGAATGCTAAAGTCAGATGAGGCTGATATAATTAAATTTGGACATTAATAAGAGAGATAGTAAACAAATGGACTTACCTAATTTTTTCCAAATATTGATGAAAAGAAAAAAAAATGGCACACACACAGTGACAGCATCATGAACAAAGAAAGTGACTTCACCACAGATACAGATATCACCTAGTTAAATCATGAGAAAATGCTGCTACACAGTCCACATATAATGAAGTATTTTTGAGAAAGTACACTGGAATTAAAAAAATATAACCAAGCCTAAACAAACTGGTAAATTTAGAGGATAATTAAACTTAACTCAAATGATTTCTTATATGTTTTCCAGCATAGTACGTTTTAATTAGATTTTAACACCAAAAGCCCAAGAAGCAATTAAATGGATATTTTAAAAGTTCAAGGAAAGAATCCTTACCAGAATTTTCCCAGTTCATGCTGCATAGTTGACATCATCCAACTGTAAAAAAGTAAAATTTAAATGATTTCTAATTAAAGGAAAAGTCAAAATATTAAATAAAATGTCAACAAAATGATATATATATGATGTCCAGGCACTCGAATTTTCTGGATCTGGGCAGTTCCCACATAACTTTTAAAAATAATTTATAATTGTTATATTTTAATTTTATTCTCTTAGATATATTTAGCCCTATTTCATCAATACCTCAATTTCATCAATGCTAAAAACCACTTTCCCTTGCCATTTTAGCATTTTCAAAATGATGCCATTTCACAGTCAATACTATCTTATAATTACATTGGACCAAATATCAGTGAAGATTTGTTTATATTTTGTGGTAAGGTCAATACTGTGCCAATATGAAAGTATTTTATACTTGATACAATTTATATATGTACATACACAAACACAAACTAAGCAAGGATTCATACAAATTTAATTCCTTATAAAGATGATTTTCTGAAAATAACTTTCCACACACATTTTATTATTTTCAATTAAATTTTAGTAAACTGTTGGGAGTATTGCTTATATATGCAGGCACACATGCATATAAATGGCTTATTAAAATATAAATAACTGCTGAGGAATCAGAGATACTGGAGGATATCTGAAATACAGAAAGCAACTGCTATTAGATCATTTAAATAAATCAGAAACCAAAATAAGGTAATAGGTACCACTTTAAAAGATGAGTATTACACAGCAAGGGTGATTGCCTAGGGTTTGTCATAGGAATAATATGGAGACAGTGAGAGTAATGAGATTGGTTATTTGGGGGAAGTAAATAACTAGCGTGCTCCTCTTCTTTAAAACAGCTAGTCGTTACTGTCCTCGGCTTCCAGGAGGAATATGAGAGACTAGTGAGTGGTCCCTGCACTGGTTAAGCAGGAGCATCCCTAGGAGAAGCAAGCAAGATGTCACGCAGCATTACAAAGCTGCTGCTTCCTTCTCTCTCCTGAAAATTAGGTCAGAGTAAAAATCAGAGCAGAATATCCTATTCTGCACGGAAGGAGCCTCATCCGCAGAACTTGAGCATTCATCACAATTAACAACATTTGAGGGGAAAAAGCTGACTCCCATATAACAAAAATAATTCTGATAGAAAATGAGGTCAAGGCAACCATATACAGATAGGATTTAGAAGATGTGAGAATGACATTCTGAAAGATATGTGATGGAAGATGGCATATCTCCAACAGCATAGATCTATTTTATAGAGGAGAGAGAGACAGAGAAAGAGATATCTTCTATCTGATGGTGCATTTACCAGATGGCCACAACTACCCTGGTCGGGGCTAGGCCAAAGCCGGGAGCTTTTTCCAGTCTCCCACATGAGTGAAGGGGTCCAAGCACCTGAGCCACCTTCCACCTCTTTCCCAGGAACATTAGCAGGGAGCTGGATCAGAAGCAGAGCAGCTGGGATTTGACCCGGAGCCCATATGGGATGTAAGTGTTGCAGGTTGTAGCTTTACCCATTATGCCATAATGCCAGACCTTTGTATATACAAATTATTCAGTTGTCTTTGTGCAATAAAAACTTTAGCTGAGGGAATTTCCTTTCTCTAAAGATGCGGTAGGTTTCTCCCAATAGGTAGCTAAGCTAAAAACCTGGGATATTACACAATGTGGAGTGGCTGGGACTTGAACCAGGCACTCCAATATGGGATATAAGTATCCCAAGTGGAGGCTTCCCCAGTTGCACCACAACTCCTCTTTTTCTGTTTCAAGAAGTATATACAGTAATATGTGTAAATCAATGCTGATGCACATACAATGCATAAAGATGTGTTTTATGACATGCGTACATAAATCATGATGGCAGAATCATGCAAGCAACATTGTGTACTACTGAAGCAAGTAGGTATTAATTCAAACTAGGTTGTTATTTATGAAGACATAGCGGTGGAGAGACATTTAGTCTGCCATTCAAGATGGTGGTCAAACCATTGATTCTCCTCATCCAAGTACCTGGGCTCCACTCCCAGCTTTCACTGCAGACTCTGGAAGACACCAGTGATGGCCAGAGTAACTGGATTCCA